GTGCACAGAGTCCCAGGAGGAGAATAGAAGGGATTGCGGCTTGACCAGCCTCCTTGGAGGGTGATTTCTCACTTTCCCTCTCACTGTCTCTTTCTGTTTCTCTCTAGCAAGTGTACATGCCCTATGGCACACTCTCTCAGCTGCCGGACTCCTGAGGCGGCCTGTGGGCTGCTCAGGAAGTGCGTTGGGCTGTATGTTCGCTCTCCCCAGCCTCCAAAACCCATCCGCGGGCATCTCGGGTATACCCTACGGGAAAGCTGGCTGGACTGTAACTATAGAAGATTCTATTTCTGTACAAGGCTTTGCCTGACGTGAGAATCCTTTGAAAGCAAAACAGTGGAATGGTGAAGGTAGGTGTGTGGTGGAGGCTGGAGCCAGGATGGCTCCGGGTCAGCTCGAGGCTGTGCTTCTCCTGAGCAGAACGGAGGGTTACTTGCTGTCCAGGCCCCACCTTGTCCCACCTGCTGCTTTTGCCTCTGAGCAAGAAAGAATTGGGTGGAGAGACTAGATCCCACATCTGTGACATCATCTTTCTCCCAGCTCCCAGAGGTGGGCTTCCAACTCTTATAGAGCATCCACCTGCCTTGAGCAGCTACCTGTGGGGAAGCCACCTGCTTCTCAGATGTGACTGCCTGAGGGTCCTCAGCAAGTCCCCGCCACCCGTTAGGCTGGGTGGATGTCAGACACCGGAGACTCATCCCCAGCACCCAGGTTGTACCCACCAGTGCCGACAGGCTAGAGGAAAGGTGGATTGGGGAGCAGAGAAGGAAAGGGGCCCTGGATCCCAGCTGAGGGCAGGTGGGTCATCCAGACCTTGGGGTCCCAGGATGGCATGCAGTGGCCCCAGCTCTGCAGCTGGGAAATGCCAAAGAGCTTCTGAGGTCACTGTACCTGGTATAGCCCTCTCTGCAGCCGGACCCATAGGCCAGAAACCAGATCTCAGATTTTGACGAATAAAGTATCTGTATTTTTCCGTGGGGACTTCCCTTCAGCCCAGCCTGCCTAAGCCATCTGTGGAGGAAGCACAGACCTCCCTGCACTTACTGGGGGCTGGCCACTGTGACGTAACTGCAGCCCTCATTCCTCAACCCAGAACCTCCCACTGAATGTCTCAAGCAGTGCCCCAAGCCCCGAGCCAACCCCTTCAGCTCTGGGAGTTTCCCAGAGAACTAGTTTCTGCGTGATCTCGGGCTCCAAGCTTGTGGGTCCAGGTGGGATCAAGTTCAGTTCCTGGCGAAGTCACACGTGGGTTCAGCACGTGGGTGTTACTCAGTCCGGATCCTGGTTGCTCTGCTCGCCAGCTGTGTCTTGGGGCATCAGCCTTGGCCTCTGAGTTTTCCAGCCTGTGCCATCTCTTGAGGACGTGGCACCACAGTAGCTCCATTGCTGGCTGTGTCCTCAGATCCTGTCTCCTCTCTGGGTTCATTTTCTTGTCTCTAAATAGGTCATGGTCTCTGCCTTTTGCCCACCAGGAATGGGGCCAGTGAGTGCCTGTGTGGGCCTTCAGGTTCTCTGTGAATATAGACTATGTGAGTCCACTTCCCCATGTCCATGAACGGGAAGGAGCTGAAGGAAGCACAGGGGTCTCCAATCCGGGTGAATCAGTGAGAAAGTAAAGAAGACCTAGGGGCCAGCAGGTGGCATAGTGGTTAAAGCACTGGACCCCACATGGCCGACCGTAGTTCGAGTCCCAGACCGAGTGGCTTAAAAGTCATTCTGGGTGTGTGTGTATATGTGCCCAGAGTCCCAGAAGGAGAATAGAAGGGATTGCGGCTAGACCAGCCTCCTTGGAGGGTGATTTCTCACTTTCCCTCTCACTGTCTCTTTCTGTTTCTCTCTAGCAAGTGTACATGCCCTATGGCAAAAAAAAAAAAAAAAAAAAAAGGTAAAATAAACAAATAAATAAATAAACCTACAGCCACACATCTGCCCCAGAGTCTAGGAGAGACCCCATGAGATTGCAGGAATCGAGGGTCAGCCCCATTTTCTTAGTGCTACTGCGAGAGGAGTTGGACTCTCCTCGGCCCCAAAGCCTGCTGCTTCTCTGTCTCACATACCACCCCCTCCTCCCCCTAGGTCCTGTCTCTTCCCCGCACTCGCCCCAGGACTGTCCTTCATCCTCAGCCCTCTATCTGCTCCTCCTGGCCCTGGGTGCAAGTCAGTCATTTGCATTTGGAAATTGGGAATGCTGCTGCTGCCTCTGACTGACGCCTAGGGTCTGGTTTCTTGGGAGAACTGTGCAGTGAGTGAGTGGTCGCGGCTAGCTGTAGTGCTTGGGCCTCGTCTACACAGGTCTCTGAGGGGAACAGCATGTGAGTGCTTGACCTCTGAGTCTGGAGACCCGGTGTGGCTGGAACCTTGAGCTCCTCTGCTGTGGGCCTATGTAATCCTGGGAGACGGGGACGAGGGGCTTCCTGACTGCCACCTGTGGTCAGTGCCTATAGGGACTAGAAAAGCAGAACACAGATCCTGCTGGAAAAGCCGCCACCCTTCCAGCTCTTTGTCTGGGACCACAGCAAGCGAAGGTGTAGCCAGAGCCCTAGAAGTTTCCAGTGAGGGAGCCTGGCTGCTCCAAGGCAAGAGCTTCCTCCCGAGATGCATCGTTTGAGGCCTTTCATCAGCAATTGCCTGTCGCCAGATGTCGGGGTTTTCCTTATTGTTGGGGTTAAGACTCCTGCCTCAGCTTATTCTCACGAAGAATGGAAGCTGGCAGCTAGTGGGGTGCACTCCCCCTGCTCAGCTCCTACCCTGCCTATATCACAGAGAAGTTTACCCAGCGGAAAGATGAGTGCCCCAATGAAAGTTGTTCCCACAGGTGAGAACCACAGCCCGAGGGCTGAGAGGAGCAGGGCCACGGAGTTGGGGCCTGAACCACAGGGTAGTGTGGCCACAGGACAGGTGCTGGCCTTTTGCAGTCAAAAGCACAAGGATGTGTGTTGTGGAGTGAGGGCGAGGTGCTGGGTCCTACCCCTCATAACGTGTCCCTTCTCTCCTCCCCCCTCCACCCTAGGCTCGCAGCCCTGAGCGATCGGGAGACCCGGCTGCAGGAGGTGCGCTCGGCCTTCCTGGCTGCATACAGCAGCACGGTGGGGCTCCGGGCCCCTGCCCCCAGCCCCTCGGGTGCCATTGGAGGCCTGCTGGAGCAGTTCGCCCGCGGTGTGGGGCTCCGGGGCACCAGCAGCAGCACTTTGTGACACGACCAGCTGACGACAGTTTCCTGTTCCTCTTTCCGCTGAGCCCTTAGTGGGATCAAAGCCATGCCTGGCCAAGGGGTACTTCTAGGGCAGGGGGAGAGCTCACTCCCCCTTCTCCATCATGCACATGGCAGCCCCAAAGCTGAGCAGAGCCACCGATCCCCAGCCCCCTGACGTGACCGTCACCGCCTCTTGTCACTGCCTCCCACCAACTCCCCATCTTTACCGGGATTCTCGTCAACTCTCAGAACTGGGGTTTCCTGGGGCCTGGCAGAGGCCATGACTTCACACAAGGCCTCACCCTCCCATTGTGTGTTTCCTGGGGAAAATGGGGTCACTTGCACTGAGAATGAGGCAGTTTGACACACATCACGAAATAAAATCAAAGTCTTTTTGAGCAGCTGCCTTCCCACATCCTCGTTAATATCTTTGCGGAGTTGTTGGGAAGGTTCTCGTCCTTATGCTGGATGGATGGAGTTTTAGGAGGTAGGCGAGTCAGGAAGATACTGCAGACGGGTGTGCCTCTCGACTTTGAGCCCCCGGTGAATTGGGCACTTGCACCCACAGACTGTTCAGGTGGGTGTGCTGGGAAGCCTGAGTGGGCCCTCGTCACCCAGGTAGCCTGTGGGCTCACGAGGGCTGCTGTGATGGTCAGCTGGCTGAGAGTTGGGGTAGGGGGCAGCCCTCATCTAAAGTTCTGCAGGCAGCAGAGTCGTGGTGCATGTGACCTGTAGCCTCTGCCTTAAGGAGTCCTGGTGGAGGGCCTGGCTTCTGGGCTTTGGAGGCAACAGCTGGTGCACATGTGCGGTAGGGGCGGCCCGAGTGACCACCACCCACCTCCGCAGTGTGACCTGGAGGGTGTGTCTGCGTCTTTAACGCCGTGAAGTCATGAGGGTTCTGGGGCAGGGGCAGAAGGCTGTGCGCAGTGCTTTACCAGCCACCACCCAGGCTGTTCATCTCAGCACGCAGGTCAGCAGTGTGAAGACCCAGAGGAAAGAAATGCCGTGCATGTTTACTGAGCACTTGCTGTGTGCTAAGTCCTTCCCTTGGAGTACCATAATAAAATAAGTGTCCTAGGTAGCCAATATTATGGCCTTTCTATGAGTGAGACTGAGCCACAGAGATGTTGACTTGCTTGCCCAAGGTCACACAGCCAGTACGAACCTATGTAACTTTTCCTGTTCAGAGACCCAGGCAGATCGGGAGTGGGAAAGAGGAGAAACACTGCTGAGGGAGCGGCTCAGAAAAGCCAGTCCTCCAACGCCCACCAAATATCCCCAGTGCTTCAGCACCACGGGCAGCTCTCGGGGGCTTGGGTTTCAGCACCACGCCGGGAGAACTCCCAAGGTATGGGGTCTGGGAAAGGCTTGAGGCGGCTCCAATGGGGCGGGGGCCGCCCGCAGGCCGGGCGGGGCTGT